AATCCTCCGCAGCTGAAGAGAACCAGGCTCCCCTAACCCCAATAATATTTTTCCTCCAGCCTTCTCGGATTTGATTTTATCCGTGCAGATGGACCTCTTCTCAATGGGGAAAAAGTGGTAAAACGGTTCATCAGTTCTGATCTTGCTGACCTTGTAACAGAGGAGAAGATCTACGAGGTCCAGATCCAGACCTCTGTCACGAATCAAGAGTAGCATAACAGACAAAATCCTAAGGAAATTGGGGTTTACTTGCAAAGGGGAAAGATTTAGCTTGTTGAAAACATAGCAAAAGAAAGGATGCAAAGGAAACCTAAGGAGATTAAGATGGAGGAGTGAAAACAGGACCCTGCCGGGAAGAAGGCCAGCACCGGTTCTAATATTCACTTCTCGGGGGCAGTTTCTAATTTCTACATCGTCAGGGAGGTGAAGTTTCATACGAAGAACGTCTAGATCTACTGTCATGGTGAGAGTGAATGAAGATTCCGAGGAGGAGAAAGAAGTCTTCCAAAAGAAAAATGCAAATGAAACTAACCTTTAAGAGTGAAAACGGCAGAAAGTACTGCAAAGCCACTGGAAAGAGGATCTTTCGCAAGAGATCGCCGGAGAAGATTCGAACAGCAGAAAGTGAGATGAAGACGGTAAAGAGGATCGATGGAACATCTATGAAGCTTATAAAGATAAGGTGAGCCCAAGGGTCGAGGAGTCAGGAAAGCGATGAGTTTTTTGAATCTCGAAACGCCGACCCCTAAATCTAACCGTCCATTCTCCTACACGATCTTCTCGAGCCGCCAGGTTATCATTAGCAGCCTCTAATAATTACCCCCTAATTAATAAGGGGTAATTATGGGGGCAGTTGAGGATGCAGTAAGTGGCATGGGCCGGATATAGTTCGCTGGAACGGGATCGGGTCGAACGATTGAAGTAGGATCCATGCCAAAGCGCCCTAGAATGGGCCGAACCTGGGGGATCCACCGAGGAAGGTCAAGCCCATTGGAAGATCAAGCCCAGAAGGAAGGAAACTTTTGAATATAGGCCCAATGTAATCAGTTAACAACAATAAGGGTAATGGCCTATAAATAGGCCATTACAGGTGGAAAATGGAAGAGAATAATTCTAGAGAGAGAGCGGGAAAGAAAGAAGAAATGAAATATTGCATCTTCAGTTTTAGTTTAATTTTTTTCTTATTAGTATTGAGTATGCTATCTTTATTGAAGGCTATGGATGCTTTGATATCCAGTTCTCTGTGGTGGGACTCATTAACCTCTGTTCAGTTCTTTCACACTTGGCTGCTGCTTCATTTGGAGTAATGTGGTTTTTTTTTTTTTTTCCTTGTTGTTTATTGCTTTGATTTCCATTGATGGATTAATGAATTTCAATTTATTGAATGAGCTTCCTCGTAATCTCAATGTAAACCCTCTAATTCATTATACACAGCTTTATATAGATTACTCTCCTTTCACACCAGCACCACCCATAGCCGCTTCTTCTCCAATCCTGTGTGTGAAACCCTTAGAGGGGATTGCTTCGAGAGTGCAGAGAGAGCTAAGATTATCGCTGCAGAGGCGTAATCAAGGGCAATGGGGAAAAAAATGGTTGGAGGGTGTTTCAGTAATTTTATTTGGGTGAAGTCAATTTTGTCAAAACAACACTAAATGGGCACTTTAGGAGCTTTAAATGGAAAAAAGTTGTTTACATCAGCAACTCCAGACATTCACTGATCATTAACGGACGTTAATGGAGTGGAACACGGTGATACAAAGATACAAACTTTAAGGGAGGTTAGTGTGTGAGTGAATGGCCATTGAAAGCTCAGGTTCGTATGATCTCAATTTTTTGTTGCATGGTTCCATTAATTGTGTCTGACCCATTGAAGACCCAATTTCTATTTTTCTCATTGTCACACCTTGAAGCTGTCTGTCATAAAGGTTCCCAAAACAAAGTTGTATAATTATTCTATTACTTGGTCTCTCACATAAGCCAAATGAAAGATATACTACTAGTCTCAAGCAAAGAGAGTCATAGTCCTTAAACTGTACTTGCAAACAATTTTTTTTAACACACAATCCCATAGAAGGTTTGCACAATCCACTAGTGTTTATAATCACAATACTTTGCCCGTAGATCCTCAAGCTCCTTCTTTTGCGCATCCAATTCGTGTTTTGCCCTTAGAGCCTCCAGTTCCTTCTCTTCCGGAGACATACCTCTGAAAAAAAAAAAAAAAAAACAAACATAGAAGTGTTTTTAAACCTAAACATAATTTGTAACAAAAGGGCATTCAAAAAACTCAATTACATGGTAAAAAGTAAAAACACTAACCGTTCTATCATCCAGTCCATCAATTTATCTATCCTGTAATAAAAACAAAAAAGTCAACAAATAAATAAATAAATTACAGAGAAAACCAAAAATTCCTAGACATCTCTCACTAGAACCAACAAACAAAAAATGCTAAAAATCAACTAGCATCTTTAGAAAAGTGGAAGTCAATGTGATATTAATTATTGTAGAAAGTTACAAACTAAGTAAAGTCCAATTCAAATAGGAGGAAGAGGGTGAAACATACCCATCAGCTAAGCGGCTACCAACACACAAACCAGGAATAGCCATCACCGAATATAACACTGAGTTACAAAAACAAAATTATTTGTATTAGTACTGAAAATTGAAACACAATTAAGACAAGAAAGTTAAGGCGAAGAAATAATTACATGTTTTAGCAAGCCATAATGACATCTGTTTAGACATCTTGGCGAAAATCTGAAAGAAACTTTTTTACAAAATAAATAATAAGAATATTTTATCATCAAAAAGAGAAAAATACAAATAATAAGAATATTATTTTATCCATTCCGAGTTCCTCTAATTGAATCTCGTGTTTAGATGCGCGCGCGAACACACAAATATATAAATATACATATATAGAGTCCTGATCTCTTATTCCCTATGGAGCAAGAAAATATATCCACACTTTTTATATAAAATTAAATCTAATGATCATTTTTCAAACCCACCTTTGATCTTTCCTTTTAACACAAAAGCATTCTCATCCTATTTTTAGTTTTTATATTTAATTTTATCATTACCACTTACGTAACAATAAAAGGTAATTATCAACTCTCTCAGCATTTCTTCGTGCGTTGAATTTGAATCCATGGACAAAAGTGTGGACAAATTATTACTTTCCATGGATAAGGTTGTGAGAAGAGCTTTACTCATTTTTTTTGAGTTACCATGTTGTTTCTGAGACCATAGTCAGTACATCATCATCATCATCATTCAATAATCAAACTCACAAATTCACAGATACTCTAGGTGGGTTTGAAAAATGACCGTTAAATTTAATCTAACGATTTATATAAAAAGTGTGGATTAATTTTCTTACTCCATAGGGAACAAGAGATCAGGACTATAATAATAATATTTGTATGTATTGTATAAGTAATTAATTGATTTGGTTAAATTGGTTAGAATTGGATTTTTGGAGACTTAAATTCGTGAATCGAAATTAATAGTTTACCAACTTTTAACTCCAAATGAATTAATGGACTAAAAATCAAATCAAAGTGCAAGGATCTCGATGAAATCAAATTCACAAATTAAACTCCCACGTACTTTCATGATGGAGATGTTAATCAAATCACTTATAACTTTTTAAAGCATTAAAGTATTTCTCTAAAATAATTCACTTTAAAATATCAAATTAATTAGGTCAAACTGTTGAGGGTGACAAATAAGTTTGAATCACTAAGTTTCTTCCTTTTTTCTTTTTTTTTTGGCAAACAATCTAAACAGAAGCCACACGGCATCTACACATTTGAACGAGAGGCCAAAGCAAAAGATCATAACACATGAAACTGCAACAGTCCAAAGCTAACACCCCTTATAGTCAAGATCATATGCTTGACAATCAAAGGAAAGGGTATCTACACATTTGAACGAGAGGCCAAAGCAAAAGATCGTAACACATGAAACTGCAACAGTCCAAAGCTAACACCAATTATAGTCAAGATCATATGCTTGACAATCAAAGGAAAGGGTATCTACACATTTGAACGAGAGGCCAAAGCAAAAGATCATAACACATGAAACTGCAACAGTCCAAAGCTAACACCCCTTATAGTCAAGATCATATGCTTGACAATCAAAGGAAAGGGTATCAGCACTAGTACTAGTGGAAAAACCAGCTCTACAAAAGTACCATCATGACCACCAATATAGAACCAAGAGTATCATAAGCTTAACCGGTTGATGGATCTTCAGACTGCGGAGCACCCACCAAATGTGCAAGCAATATCGCAAAGATTTGAATATGCACCATGGCCCAAGCCCACTATTGGAATGAATAGAAAAATCAAGACTGTGCCACTAGGGGAAACCACAAAGCCCAACTGCCAGAGGCCCAGCAAACCCATACTAGAACCTTCCATAAGAATGTGGTCCAACACTGGAACATCCGTCTCTAGAATTTTACACCACATAACTAGTGGAGTAGTATTATTCAAGAATAGAATCGCCCCCAGGGCGAAGTAGTGATGGTTAGAGTTTGGGTTTTCACAGAAGAGGCTCGGATTCGATTCCTAGCCTTTGCATTCTCGGAGTGTAGTAGTGATGGTTGAGCTTGGGTTTTCACAGAAGAGGCCCGGACTCGCCTCCTAGCCTCTGTCTTTCCAGACTCACCCGGAGTTATCCTAGGGCAAGGCTTCACCCCAGGCTTGTACCACGCCAAAAAATAAATAAATAAATGAATAGAATCTCAAATGGGTGTGGGACCACAATTGAAAGGTCACTTATTAGTGCTTTTAATCAGTACGCTGGAAAAAGGATGCCCAGGCCTGGCTGGCTGGCTTTTACCCTGGTTGGCGTTAGTAAAATGACTTAACTGACCATTGAACTAAGCAAATATACATAACTAGGTTAAGGGTAGAGTCCAGAAAACACCTTATAATTTATTTTGGCGCGAATCACACTCTCTAATTTATTTTGTGCATAACTAGATTCACACTAATGTTGCAACTAAATGCGCCAGATCTGATAGAGAATGGGTTAAAATCCAAAATTGCCCATTCATATTCCATAATAGCCCTCACCATATTCACGGCCCTCAGCTGTGTCTTGGGAAATGACTCACCACCGACCTCCTTGCTCAATCCGAGCACATTGTTGTGACTCCATTTTCTAATCAGTTCCTCATTGCCGGTATCGGTCCTCCCCGATTTGCTTGAAAAGAAAACGGCCACGGCGAGTTTGGAGCAAAAACGGCGGGTAAACCCAATTTGATTTCTCTCTAAGCCAATACCCTAAATCTTAGTGAGAGAAGAGTGAAAATTTCAGAGACAGATAAAGAAGAAAGAATTAAATTCAAACCCAAATCTTAAAGAGAGAGGCGGCTGTGCTAGCGACTATTAGAGTCGCGATTCCGGTGGCCAATGAACGGCGGTGATGTGTGGCAAGAAGCGGCGCCGTAGCGGCTGTTCAAAGTCCTCAACGTTTTCAAAACGGTTAGGGATTTGAGTCCTTGACGAACGGTTAGGGACTGACTACCTTCCAGACCCTTGTTTGTTGGTTTACCTCTTTTTTCTTTTCTTTTATTTTGTATTCTATTTTTTTTTTCTTCTTTGTACTCTTGATTTGTTGATATGATGTTGGTATTTGAGTGTTTGATGAATTGATGTTATGAATTGGGTTGGACTCTGTTGAGAGAGAGGGAGAAGAGAGAGAGAGGTGAGTCTGTTTGGGGTCAATTATGCCTACTGCTAGGAAGGTTTATGGGCTTTTACCGAGAGGGCACTGACTGGTATGTTCTCTCTCTAAAGTTTCTTTAATGCTCTTTGATTCAATTTTATATCATATTATATATTAATTTCATGTCTTAGTATGTTTATTGAATTTTATTAATTAACTTACCACGATGAGCAATTGTGAAGATGGTGTTGAAGGTGCTGTCCACCGGTGGGTCACTGATAACAAGGGTGGTCTCTGTTTTGTCCGCCGTTGATGAAGATGGTGGTGTGTGGATTATCCGCACGCGACCCCTAAATTAATTGCACATTTTCCATGCTGGCACAACACCTGCTTTGGGAGTATATTTAATTTAGTCGTGTAAAAAGTGGGAAAGGAAGACTTTGAGGACTTCTGATCTGATTTGCTCTTGTTTGCCTCGGCCAACCCAAGAACTATCTATGGGTTTCTGAATTAATATCGAATAAAAGACAGATAAACACAAACCCCATGATGTGAAACATGAGTGAATCATCAAAGAATTATGGCTTTACCATAATTCTTTTCTTATGTTCTATTTTTTCCGTGTTGACGGTAATCTTTGATGCAGTAGAATTAGACACCATAACTACAACTCAATCTCTTACTGATGGACAGACCATGGTCTCTTCAGATAGAACATTTGAACTGGGATTTTTCAGCCCCTCAGGTAGTAGTTCCAGGAATCGATACTTGGGAATATGGTACAAGAAAATATCTGATGGGACTGTGGTATGGGTTGCCAACAGAGATACTCCACTTACTGATACATCAGGAGGAGGTGTCTTAAAGCTCGCTGATGGAGGAATTCTCGTGCTTATCAATAGTACAAGCAACATCTTCTGGTCTTCTTCAAATTCATTATCAAATAACAACAAAGTGAACCCAGTTGCACAGCTTTTGGATTCGGGTAATTTTGTTGTCAGAGATTCAAATGATGAGAATTTCCTATGGAAGAGTTTTGATTATCCATGTGACACTTTGTTGCCGGGCATGAAGCTTGGAAAGAACCTAGTGACTGGAATTGATCGGCGTCTATGGTCAGGGAAGTCCAGTGATGACCCTTCTAAGGGTGAGTATTCTCATGGACTTGATCTTCGTGGATTCCCAGAATTAGTCCTCCGGAAAGGTTCGATTGAGCAATACCGTTCTGGTCCATGGAATGGTGTCTCCTTTAGTGGGTCGGTGGGTTTAAAACCAAACAGCATCTACACATACCATTTTGTTGTTGATCAACAGGAGGTGTATTATGAATATATGCTTGTTAATAGCTCAGTTTTCTCACGGTCGGTTTTGAATCAGCATGGAATTATACAACGCTTGACATGGAATTATAAAATACAGGATTGGACAGTTTATGGGAATACACCAGCAGATAACTGTGATTTCTATGGGCTGTGTCAGGCCTATGGTAGCTGCAGCATTGGTAACTCCCCAGTATGTGGCTGTCTTGATAAATTTATACCAAGATACCCAAAAGATTGGGATACAGCAGATTGGTCAGGTGGGTGTGTTCGAAGAACGCCCTTGGATTGCCACAATGGATCATTAAATGGATTTCTCAAGTATTCCGGTGTTAAATTGCCTGACACACGGAATTCCTGGTTTAATAGGAGCATGACACTCAAGGAATGCGAGACGGTATGCTTGAGAAACTGTTCTTGTATGGCTTATGCCAATATAGACATAAGAGGAGGAGGAAGTGGCTGCTTGCTCTGGTTTGATGACCTGATTGATATTAGGGAAATCCCTGAAAGTGGGCAAGATATTTATATAAGAATGGCCTCCTCTGAGTTAGGTATGTATGATATATATCCCCAAACACATAGATAAGTTAGTCGCTTTTACATTCTGGTGTGGAAATAAAAGAAAGTTGCCATCTTTTCAACATAAAGGAGGCATGTAGAAGCTCTCACAAATGTAAAATTAGGAATAGAAGCACTTTAAACAATATTGTTATCAAAGAAATTTAAAAGTATTTTAATTGTGAAAGTGCACCTAACCTAACATGTTTTTTTACTAATAGCAATTTTATGACAGGTCTACTAATAAAAGCGCTTTTTTTCATTCTAATAGCAATGTCAAATGAGCCCTTAGTTTTTATGTTCACCTTTCTTTTCTTTCTCCGCCAACTTTTCTTCCAATTCAGTTACAACTGGGAGACGAGCATTTGGCCTTTTTTCCACCATTAAGTCCGTAAAGGCACCTAGTTGCATTCCTTATCAGTGCAAGAAAAATTATTTAGTTTTGGGGCAAAGAAGCAGCGAATATGCTCAAATTGACTGCTGATGATGAAATTTTGAGTGGTCACAGTAATAGGACTACCTATGATGCAAGGTTCAAGGTTGAGCTGTGCTAGGCCAAAAACAACTAACAAATGCCACTAAGTTTGTGGTGAACAAAGTTGCCAAATGAAATTGTCCATGATGCTGACACTTGAAGGACTTCAGAAATTGGCAGTTTTGATGTTAATTCCATTTGGGGTTGAGTCCTAAACCAGAAAATGATATCAATTGATTTAAGATTAGGTTGAATTGCAGCAAATTTGCTGCAATTACTCTTCTTAAAATGCCTGCTTCATGGTTGGCCTTCAGGATGAATTACACCAGTGAGTGAAAGACTCCTAAAGGCAATCATTTACCGAAAAGTGTCTTCTTTTACTTCTACTTTATTTCTTAGTTTTCCTGCCTTAAATTATAGTTGCTTTACATTGTGGTAAATTTTGACTGTGCAGAGAGTCCAGAGACGCATAGCAGCTCCCATGTAAAGAGACGATTGAAGATTATAGTCCTTCCTATATTACTTACAGCATTGGTACTCCTAGGCCTATTCCTTCTCTTGTATTTCTTAAGGAGGAGGAATCTGAAGAGAGAAGGTAAGATATATAGAAGACTCAAATTACTTCCCTTTCGTATTTTGCAAAGAAAACTACAAATTCTTACCGAGGCAAATCCAACCCCATTTTTTAGTAGATTCCAAGTTTCTATTTTATGTATGTCTCATGTCTTGTCGGCATCATATGTCAAGATTTTCAAATTTATTTCCTCTGCCACTTTATCTTGGTCTCATTCTGTACCTCCTCATTTTAATTGAGCCACTTTAGCTTTATATTCTGATGTCTCATGTACTGTGAAGTGTACCAAAATCAAGCTTTTTGAATGTTATTAACTATTGATAAAGTCATCCAACCAATTTTTTTATTGGCAAATAATCTCTAAAATGGACCCATCAGATTGTGCATCTTAATCATAATCCTTTCTCTTAGGCTTACAAGACTTTTTCAGGATGAGTGTAGAGACACAGAAGTTGTCTGTTATGTTGCTTGAAAACATCTGTTGACCACCATCTAAGTTTGAGCTGTTAGAGACAGTATGAGTTGAATATTTAGATCCTTCATCACGCCCCACAGGTGGCCTTATTTTGGTCCAACACGTGTTTCAATTTTAATTATCAGGGTAGAAGAGCTCTCCAACTAGAGAAGGAGACTAAATCTCCCAAAATCTGCTAGAAGCCCCTTTCCTTGGAAAGTCTATTTGGCGTTCCAAGGCCCCCCTCAAAGTGGCCTTCTTTGCTTGGACTTCTGTCTTGGGTAGGATTTTAACCCAAGATAATTTGAGGAGGAGGAATCAGGTGGTGGTCAACCGTTGTTTCTTGTGTTTGTGTGATGAGGAGACAGTTGATCATCTTCTGTTGCATTGCAGTATGGCCAGAGACTGCTGGGTTTTGATGCTTGGTTTGTTTGGGGTTCCCTGGTTTATGCCTTGTTCCTCTAGAGGGTTGATTGAGGCTTGGAGAGGTTTCCCAGTTGGGGCTCCCATTCTGGATGCTTGGAGGGCTACTCCTCTTTGTATTTGGTGGTGCATTTGGCTGGAGAGAAATCAGAGATTTTTTTAGGGAAAGGAGAAGCCTGTCTCTATGCTTAAGTTCTTTATTATTTCTACTCTTTTTTGTTGGGTCTGAGAGAGAGATTATAGATCTTTAGAGAAGATTGTTGCTTTTTTGGCCTCTTTGAAGGCCTGAGGCGTTTTTTTTTTTTTTTTGGCCTTTATGTTTCTTTGGGATCCGCTCCCTTTTGAGCATTTGTTATAATATTTTTACTAATCAAAAAAAAAAAAAAAATCTGCTAGAGTATTATAGAAAGATACAATATGTACTACTAGAAAAGGACAAAACTACTAGGTGAAGATTCTTTTGTAAGACCTAGAGAAGATTGTGGTGCTAGTGATATCAATGGTCATCATGAGAGTCTCATAACAAATAAACAAGTAGCTAACCCGGCCTCCTAGAAATTTATCATTTGGAACCAATATGGTTTTTGCACTGGGAGTGACAGCAATACCGCTATAGATGACATTTACTGAAGTAGGCAAATGATTAAAGAAACAACTCAATGCTGCTAAAATGATATCTAAGGGCGTCATTACTTTACTTTGACATTATTTCACTTTCTTTTCTGCTAATATAACAAAGGAGAATAGACATCTCAATTCTTGTTCCATCCACTGGTGTTGTGTCATGTCCAGATTTTTTGGACATGATAATATAAAATAAGCTCTTATAACATTAAAGATAAACCATTTCAATATTCCAACTTTTCAAATTAAAACAAACATAACAACTGAAAAAAAATAAAAAAAATAAAAAAAAACATTGTCTTAAACTTTAGTTTCAAGAAACACACTCTCAACTGAGTTCAGAAACAACTTCATTTCTTCCGACTTTGGCCAAGAAAAATATTGAGGTGAGCACAACCGCTCAGTAGGAAAAATACTCTAAATCCATATATACAAGAAGATAGAATATGAAGAGCAATATCATAATTTTTTTTTGCCTTGAAAATGGTTAGTGGTTAGTTGGGAGAGGGGGGAATCGAACCTAGGATCAGTAGGGTGGGTGGCACTAAAGGCCTGGCCCTTTACCACTCGGGCAACACCACCAAGCCTAGAGCAATATTATAACATACCTGTACTCACAAATAACAAAGCCTAAGTAACATTGAATTAAAATATTAGTAATAATAATAATACAAATACTCCAAACATAATTCAAATTTGAGTTACAACGTCAAATCTCAATCCACAGAACAATCCCCAACATGAATATTGCACACGTCAGTCGATTCCTGGTCATTCTCCAGCGGACCGCTAACACCCAACTAAGTTCCAGAAAATGGTTATAAATGTACGAGCACACGCATGCAAATCACTTTCAAGAACATATAACATGCACATAGATGAAAGGTTAAAATATACTACAAAATAGAATAATTTTAAGTTTGATCCCATCTATTTGGGCATATAAACTGAGAGTAAATCTCCTACCTTGTGTTGAATAACTCCACAAGAAAAGAGTACGCTCTAGAAGCCTTACTGTTCACAAACCAACCTACTCCACTCCATAGTTTGTAAAATGAGTTTTCTTTCTGTTTGTTATTCCCTCAAATGATTAGCAATCTACCCATCCGGATTCTAATTTATAGGTGAATGCAGAAAATATAAGGTCGTGTAATTAATGTGTAAGGAATATATAGAATCATGTAACTATTGTAACTACTGGGCCATCAAGTATCAAGATGTCTGGGTCATCAAGTATCAAGCTACTTAAGAGGTGAGTCTTATAATTTTGTATGACTCTGCATATTATTTTATTTTATTTTATTCGAAATAAAAGCTCATTTAGCCATGTATCATACCAAAGGTCACATTCATAAAGTCATTGACCCCTTTATTTGTTTTTTAGTTAATTTTTAATGATAATAATGTATTTTTAACTTTAGTATTTCAAAATTACGGGTTCTCACATGTTGCTTACAGCTTACCAGGTTCTTTTTCTTTCTTCTTGTACAAATGATTATCATGATGCCGTTGTATTTAAGAGTGTCATGCCATACCATTCTGGAAAGAGAGTCAGGGTGATCCCTTAGCAAAGGACCCCTTATTTTCTTAAGTCATAGACCCTTTATTTATTATTTATTTATTTTTCTATTTTAACGATAATAATATATTTCAAAATTTCGGGTTCTCACTTGTTGCTTAAAAGTTTCTTTTTCTTTTTTTCTTAAACAAATGATTATCATGCTGCCGCTGTATTTGAGAGTGTCATGCCATACCATTCTGGAAAGAGAGTCAGGGTGATCCATTAGCATGCCAGACGGTTATTTGAGTGATGACAGTTATCTAGTTTCATCTATAACATTTTTTATTTTGCAGGTATGGAAACTAAGAGTGAAGACATCGAGTTACCAATTTTTGATCTGGAGACTATTGCAAATGCCACTAAGAACTTCTCTTCCACAAATATGATCGGAGGGGGTGGTTTTGGTCCTGTTTATAAGGTTAAATAAGTAATCTTTGGTTCGATATCTAATCAAAAAGTGAACCCAATGATTTTAACATTGCTATTCAAAAACTTGTAGGGTAAGCTAAAAACGGGACAAGAAATAGCAGTCAAGAGGCTTTCAAATAATTCTGGACAAGGTCTACAAGAGTTCAAAAATGAAGTTATGTTGATATCCAAACTTCAACACCGGAATCTTGTTAGGCTATTGGGCTATTGCGTTGAAGGAGAAGAGAGGATGCTAATATACGAGTACATGCCGAACAAAAGCTTGGACTATTTTATTTTTGGTCTAGTCTCTTGACCATTTATCTTATTATATTAATTTCATGTTGCAATTTATGCAGCAGAGTCCTCTGCCCTATTTTTAAAATGATAACTGATGTAAAGCTTATATGGATGGAAATGTCATGCAGATCAGAATAGAAGACTAGAACTTCCATGGCAAAAGCGATTTGAAATTGCTATGGGAATATCAAGGGGACTTCTCTACCTTCACCAGGACTCAAGATTAAAAATCATTCATAGAGATCTCAAAGCCAGCAACATTTTACTAGATGATGAACTAAACCCCAAAATTTCAGACTTTGGGATAGCAAGAAGTTTTGGGAGAGATCAAATTGAAGACAAAACAAAGCGAGTAATCGGAACATAGTAAGTTTTGCAAACAAATGTCAAGATAGTACTTGTTCAAGATTTCAAATGCTTAAATTTGATAATTTTATGCAGTGGTTACATGTCGCCGGAGTATGCCATTGATGGAAAATTTTCAGTAAAATCTGATGTGTTTAGTTTAGGTGTGCTTTTATTGGAGATAGTGAGCGGCAAGAAGAACAGGAAATTTCATCATCCTGATCACTATCATTCGCTTTTGGGACATGTATGGTGGTGAAATGTACCCTATTTTGTTTTATTTTTCTCTCTAACTTCCTTTGTGAATTACTAAATTTGAGGATTGTGATTGTTATAGGCTTGGTTGCTGTGGAATGATCACAGAGCCCTGGAACTAGTGGATTCATGTTTGAAAAATTCATACATTGAATCTCAGGTACAAAGATGTATTCAAGTGGGACTACTATGTGTTCAAAAACTGCCAATAGACAGACCTTCCATGTCATCAGTAGTTTTCATGTTGGGTAATGAGGGAGTGGCATTGCCTGAACCCAAACAGCCTGGTTTCTTTGTAGAAAGAAGTTCTATGGATGCAGAGACATCAACAGGTGAGAGCAGTCATACTGGAAATTCCTTGACAATAACAATAATGGAAGCCAGATAGAAGTAGCACCTTTTTCATACTGCTGTAGTGATGGAGTTTATGCATATCAAGGAAAAAAGAAGAAGATTGTAGTTTGTTATCTCATTAATCGTATAACATCATCTGCGTTACAAGGGAATTCTCCCCATTCCATTCTATTTTCTGATTAAGTCCAGTTCACTCTTAATCTTTGGGTTTTTGGGTGTGTTTGTTATGTTCATAACATTGGACATGGTCTTAACAAACTTGACTCTGATGCCACTAAGTGTGTGTTTCTTAGGTATTCTAGCACTCAGAAGGGTTATCGTTGTTATAGTCCTATCTTACGATAATATTTTATGGAAGGACCCAAACTCAGGGGGGGGGAGGTGTTCTGAATCGTCTATACATGGATTGTTTTATTTTTTAAATCAATTTTCTTGATAAGTTAGCTTTGACTGCCATTCACCCATTGTAAAGAATTGGACAATGAGAAGTGGTTGGCGTTAACATATTCTCACATTATGTTGACTATTCTTTTTCTTTCTTTCTTTTCCCTAGGTCACATTTTATTGACTATTCAACTGTAGAAATTTTTTAATTTGTTTTAGTGTTAAGAATTAAAGTCAACTTTTGGTCTAGAAGATGAACCTACGTTTCTGAAATTCTGATGGAATTAACCCTATCAGAGTTGACATATTCTCACATTATGTTTCAATTTAATTGTGAGAATCAAATCACTCGCTCAAATGAATGTCCTCGAGTCTTTCTGGATTGTGTATAGAAGAATGTGAGAGTCATTTCAGAGACTATACAACGCGATGCCAGCGAAGGCATACATACATTAAGCAATTTTTTAAAGTATTTTGACATAAGCAGCTTCATTAGTATATTTTCATGCTAGATTTTTGAGATACAGACTCTCACCTTGAAGTACCTTTTCCCATGTTATACGCAATATTCCTATCTATGCCATTAAGCAAACAATATATATTTATAATGAGTACTTATCACATGGTGTTCACCCCCTTAAATAAGCCTAGTGGAGTATGCTTTGTTGAATGACAAGTGCTGCATTTAGTTTGTAAATGAACCCCGACAACTTGTCATTGTCCAATTCTTTACATGTTTTTTAGCTCTTCAAAAACTATATCATGATCAGTATTTATCTTGGAAAGTACTTACAGTTTTGACACGGTTCAATTTGGTTGGTTCAATTTGCCTCCATTGATTTTATTAAAAATATATATATATATATATATATATATATATATATATATATATAGTTTATTTATTTGTAGACAACATGATCACACAGAATATGAGTGAAGGGAACTTTAACCTCATCTGTATCATCAAAATTAAACTTAGGAGGTCCAACTCCCTTTTTTCAATAAACAAAATGACGAGCATCATTTTTCATTTTTCATCATCTTTTGTCTCTGAACCGCGTAGTCCTTAGCGGGAAAGTAGCAACATGGAGGTTTGGACTCTGTGAAGAACACGGTATTGAGACATGGAGGTTTGGACTCTGAAGAACTGTGTATGGTTCAGGACTCCATCATATTGGGTAATCACCCAAGCCAGTACCAATTACAGAAACCGGGATTCCCAGACTGAAAGAGTGAGGAACATTATGCCTCTGAGATTGATGTATTTTGCCAGTTTTTGCATGTCATTTCACACATTTAGTCTGTAGTGTTATCAGGAGGAGGCGACTTGATCTTAATTCATTCGAACTCGCAATGTATTAGCAAATCTAAATTTAGACTACTGGCATAATCTGTCTTGCAGCTAACAACTTTTGCTTCAGAATATGTGGAAGTGTTAACCCTGCCTAAAGATTGGTCATTATATGGTGCTTCTTCAGCTACTAGAAGTGAGAAGTGAATATGTTGATCACATCTAGTCATCTACTAACAAGTCTCAGGAAAACTGGCAATCTCAAACCAGTAGAAGCTAGCATGGTGAATTGCCACTTCTAAGGTGCATTCGAGAGAAAGAAATCCAACTTCATTAGATGAAGTTTATGATTAAAAAAAATACATAAATCGTAGATTACCTGTCCCTTAAACATGACACGAGTTACCGCCAATCTAATCATCACCACCACCACCAAAATAGATTGGTAAATCCGTTGTATTGTTATACAGAAAGGGTGATAAATTGTTGCAAATGAAAAACTGCCAGAATCATGGATTATATTTGAAGAAATGTACCTTGAAGTCATTTATTACAAGGCAAAATAATAATAATAATATTGACAAGCTATAAAATGAAATTATTATATCTATTTTTATTTTCAACGACTTCTAAACACAAAAATGGATGGCTTCTGACTAATATCCACCTCCACTTTAAGTTGTGACCAGGAGATACATAAGGCCCTTCAGATATTCCACTATTTCAGATCCTCCAAGCTTTGAACTTCCGTAAACTCTGTCAACGAAAGTAATTGGAACCTACAGGCATGGTAATTTAGACAAAAAAAATAATAAATAAATAAATAAATAAAAAGAGAAGAAAATTAGGCTATAAATAAAAAGATCGAGGCAGCAATTATTCAGTGTAGGAAGAAAATAACTAGTGCATACGTAGCCAAAATTTTGCACAGAATATACATCTCAAAAGCTAACTAAATTTCACATACATCTCAAAAGCTAACTGAATGTAACAAATTTCATATACATCTCAAAAGCTAACTAGTGCATATGTAGCCAAAATTTTGCACAGAAAATCTACGATCTATAAATCGAACCATGCTTCAGGTAGTATCTCGGTAACTACTTAACATGCAGTATCTCATTCTGCATTTCATGGGTTTTACCATCATCTAGGCAATCTACTCTAAATCCTGGAAACTGTAGGACAAAAGAATTTTTTTATTATTATTATTACTTCAAATGAAGGCACAATAAAGCTCAAAATCCATTATGGTTATAGACCAACACCCTTTCAACCACCAAAAAATTTCATAGATGAGACACTATTCAGACACCGCATGCCATCCCCTTCAGTCACTATAGTTGATGAAACCCAGACGGTCCATTTCTTCCTTGACATAATCTAGCACGGCATATACCACGAAGCATTGGCTTGAGTTCTATTTCCTCCATCTCCCAAGTGTGGGTGGAGGGGGCATCATGCGTGTCTGTGTTGTAGTTGTCCACATAATAATAAGAAGAATAAAGCATTGTACTCTTCCCATGAACGCTTTGAAAAACAACGGCCATCATAGAGCATCAATAGCCTGTTTGATTAAATATAAAATTCATACAACAATCATCCAGGGCTGACCAACATTGGCAATTACTTCACATAATGGCACTATTTTCTTGGGGTCACTTTTGCAATAGTGACATTGAGCAAAATCCAAAATGAAGGTATAAGATGTGCATGATTATACACATAAGGAGTAGAAACAAATATTACACAAATTAAAGAATTTTGGTTAAGTTTACTAAATGTCTTCATGATTGATCCATATGGCCACTGAGCCATAAAAGGATTGTTAAGAGTCGGATTTACTTTATTACTGAGGAGTAGTATTTGTCCTTTTCTCAGTTTATTAGTTTAGGTATTATTATATTATTATGTTTGTATTGTACTTTTAAATTATTATTATTATTATTATTTTTTTTTTTTTTACGATTGAATACACAGCAAGTTCCTCTCCTCTTATTCACTATTCGCTACTGTTAGAATAAATCTTGACATGGTATCAGAGCTAGGTTTGATTGTGGGAATCATATCACACCTGTTAATCGCCTCTGTTCGTCACCATCACTGTCACATCTCAGCAATCGCAAAACCTAACTGGCGATTGCAATATTGCAGCGTTCAACTCCAATAGCATCGACTCTCTCAATCTCTTTTTTTTTTTTTTTTGAAAAGTAACTCTCTCAATCTCTTCTCATTATTGCAGTTTGATTTTGTTTGAACTCAGCAAACACTAATTGATATCACCTACAACTTGGCACCAGCAGTCAGATTGCATTGCAGCAGACTTCGCTTATCGATGTCGCCCAATTGAAACTCTAAATTTGTAATTGCAGCTTTGGTTCTGGTTTGTGAATCACAGCTGTCGCGTTGTTCTCTTCATCGCACAATACTAGCACCAACGATCATTTCTTTCTCTCACTCTCTGGCTTCTGTGTTTTTTCTAGGTGATTCTCTAATCTCCTGGAAAAGCAAGAACCAGACACTTGTCGCTCGCTCATATGCTGAAGCTGAGTATCGTGCCATGGCTGTTATTACAGTGGAGACAGTCTGGCTGCGATGGTTGCTTGGTTATATGGGTGTTCCTCTTCCTGTTCCTACTCCCATGCATTGTGATAACAAGAGTGCCATTCAAATTGCAAACAACTCAGTCTTTCATGAGCGCACAGAGCATATCAAGATTGATTGTCATTTTGTGCGCCAACACCTGCAACTTGGCACCATCTCTCTCCCGTTTGGTTCATCTACTTCTAGGAAAACTCTCGATGCTTCTTACTGTTGCATCGTGAGTTTGAGGGGGGTGTTAGAGTAGGATTTATTTCATTATTGAGGGGTAGTATTGTCCTTTTCTCAGTTTATTAATTTAGGTTTTATTATATTATCATGTATTGTATTGTACTCATGTTTTTTTTTTCTTTTTTCTTTTTTTCTTTTTACGATTGAATACACAGCAAGTTCCTCTCCTCTTATTCACTGTTCACTACTATTTGCATAAATCTTGACAATATCAAGTAAAAAGGTACGGTGAAAATAAGCAAGTTGCACCACAGCTTGGCTGAAAACAGCTGTTACAGCCCTCTGTAGCTCACAAATCAATTTGAAAGCGTTATAACTACCTACACACTTTAACCACCAAGTTGCATGCTCGTGTTCAGATTACCACCAGAAAAAGTAAGGAAAAAAGAAGGAATTTATGAGAAAAAAAAAAAAACTCCAAAAGTCAAATTCACATAAAAAATTAACAAAAAAAAAATTGATTATAGCTCACAAGTCATCAATCATGACCATGAACACATGAATAAAAAATGTAACAATACCTCTTCAATTTGGTACCCTTTCCTTGAAGCCCTAACTATCATCTCCATCTGAAAAACGTACCCCTTACTAACGCAAGAGCTTATGACATCTTCAAGTGCAGATTTCTTATAAAGCCTTCAAACAAGCAACAAAAAAGTTCAATTTCTAAAAAGTTGAAAATCAGAAGAATAAGCAGTTTAATATCATAATATATTTAGCTCACCGGAAAGAGCCAGTTAAATCTGATACACCAGGCCAAAGAAGTGTGTGTGCAAGGACATTGGCTCCTCTACTCGTCAATTTGCGCATAAGATTCCACCCATGCACGCCACCGCCTTTGACATATCGGGTTCCAGTAACTATACTTGCACCAGTCTCCATCTGCTTCCTACAAAAATTGTTGAAGAAACAGAGCTAAGAAGAAATTGGAACTACTACGCTTATGAAAAGTATAACATGACTCCAGGCCTGATTCCATTTTCTTACTTGATGAAGCTTGGCAGGTATTTTGGCTGTGAAACAAGAACCAAAAAGAGCAAATGAATTAGATCTTGAATAAGATAGCAAAAAAAGACAAATCTTTGTGGTAAACAACTGTCACAATCAGATCTGACAAAATGTGAATAGGCCCACAAAATGCATATCCCAAAGGAAAGCCCCATAAAAACAAACGGGAAACACTAATTAACAAGTCGCCTAAAATGCTCCTAATTGGCAGGCCTATCCACTACGTTGTTATATCTCCAACCTTTTTCTTATTCTGAACATTTTCTTTGATTTCTGAATGTTAAATATCATGGTATAGGTTACTTTGTTGGCATTGAAAAAAACATGTTAGAGCAAAATTCCATAATAGTTTAAATAAATCTATTACTTAATTGAAAAAGTTAGGATTTTTTTTCATGACAGATAGTAAACTTCAGAAGAGTTTTACACAATAAAATAACTTACGGGATGAAAAACACAAGACCACAATTCCATTTCCTGCACGGAAAACTTGTACATTGCCACGAGTTTTCCTCCTAACTAAATTATTTAAAAACTCGAAAAATATCCACAAGATTGTTCCAAAATAATCATTTACATAACACGTAATATACTTACAATGTGTACCACCAAGAGCTTAATTCTAGGTATCTGCTCTACTAACAAAATGGAAGGTTGAAGATTCAAGTCCCAATAAGGGGTAATTGTGGGTGTGTACGCGTGTCTTACCTGCCAAAAAACAAACTTACATGGTGTGATAGATCAGCATCCATGATTACAACAAAATTGCCTGACACATGCTTTAGACCATGAATGTAAGCAGTCCCTGCAATTCAAATCCGAATCAGGGATAGGTTATTGCATTTATCTATAAAAAACAATTAAAATTAAAATTCAGAAAAATATACATACATACCTAACCCGAGCTTCTTAGGTCTAGCTCTCAACAGCTGTATTTAAAAAAATATAATAAATAAATAAGCCAATATGTAGGGGGCAATTAACAAGCTAAGAATAAGCAAAAACATTAAACTTCATGAATGAGCAAATTATCCGTTACAACACTTACAATGTGATCTTCACCATAAACCTGCTGCAACTGCTTTACCACATCTTGAGTTCCATCGGGACTTCCATCATCCACGATTATTATTTCAAAATCAACTTCCCTAACCAGGCAATAAGGAAGTTATAACCATGACATCTCTTATGCATAAAAAGGTTTATAATCCAATTCTAATGCCGATTGAATGAAATATATTATCAAAAAAACTTCAAAGAAAAAGTTACGTGCAAAATTGTAGAGTAATTATAGCATTTATCAAAGGAGGTCTTGATGTAAAAGTATGCCAAACCAAGACTAAGCGGGGTGGGAATATTTAAACAGGCCAGAGGGGCAGAGGACTTGCATTCAGGAGTGTGCATAGGTGTCATCTAGCCAAATTTCCTCACAGTACCCAAGCATATTCGAGTTATCAGATGCTAATATACCACTCTATTCGGAAATGGAAATAGTATCTTGAAAATTCCAAAATACCACTAACCCAAAGCCACATATACAGGGAACAAAGAACATTATCTCAAGTTCACCAGCAAGTAGTTCCACATTTTTTTCACAATGATGCATATGTCCACTTCTTGCATATTTTGTAATCAAATGTGGCCCTGACACTCCAGAAACGTAATCTTTAGTTATTCCCGAGAGCAATTATGATCTGGAAGTCGATCCGGGGCAAGTGTTCTCCAGCCCATTCTTTTAAATCCTCAGACCACTCGGGAAATTGTAATACTAATATACGGCCAATATTTTTTAGCTATTATCAATGAAGGTAATATAATATATTTTCTAAAAATCTATCGACTTACTAACATAATCAATCTGAAGTTTGGAGTATATAAGGCATTGCAAGACTAAACGAATTCAAAAAACTGCCTAAGCAGCACAAAACATCCATTCATCTTAATTATATTTATTTTTTTTACTTTGTGCGATTCATTGTATGTCAAACCAGAATTCTCTATTTGGAACTACTGTATCGAGTTGAAAAAAAATATTTAAACTTTAAAATTGTTTTCAATATAAAAGGGGGCAAGTTATGGCCTTCATTGATCTCTTCCTTTTATATGTTTTGCTGTGCATTCAATATATGTTTGAGGATACCAAGGACGGCATGGGCCGGATCTAACCCACATGATGAAGAATGGGCCAGGCAAATGGCCTGGGCCCAAATCAAGTTGTCATGAGACAAGCCCAATGCCGAAGAGTGAAGCTGAAGGCCTGAAAGACGAATGGATCAATGGATACAAAAGCCTCGATGATGGGCCTAATGGAGGAAGTGAGTGAGGGATCTTCTAGAACATTGTAAACAATCTATAAATAGAGGAAAATGAAAGAAAAAAGGGAGAAAAATTTTGAAGTGTGATGAAACTCTGTCAATTTAGAGAGAGAAAATTTCTTGCATCTTCAATGGCACCGTCCGTGGGAACCGATGAGAATTCATTGATGATTCACTCAGATTGATTTGATCTAGTGGTATAGCGCTTGAAGACGAAGCCTAATCGTTGAAGGCAGAATTAAGATTAGTGAAATTGTGACCGGAGAAATTGGCGTTCGATCTACACAGTTTTGATTTATGCTTGTTTTCGAGAGTTGTGCGGTCGAGAGTCGCTGAAATTGTTCGTCGCCGGAGCAATTCAGATCTAGTTAATCATGATCAGAATTCAGCTGCACTAGTATCCAGATCTAGAGCGTCAACATTGGCAAAACTCATATCTGATCAGAAATTTGCGGTTGATGACTTTGCTACGATCCGGAATGATGATCGGAGAAGAGAGTTCGAATCCAATGGAGAATAACCAGCAGACGAAGCTTGATGAACATGATCGAGGCACTGAGAAAAGAAAATGCAGAGTTGAGAGCTGAAATGGAATGCCGAGAGGTTCCGGTTGCGCCACGACCGCCTTCGGTGGGTGAAAGAGGCATGCGACCTGATAACGCACATCAAGGTGAGCAAGAAGGAGATAACCACGTCAATCTCCACCGCGAGGAGGTTAGGATGGAGAATTTACCGCCAAACGCTCGTCGAGCTGAGGATCGAGAAGGATCTGTACATCTCGATCCTCATCGTGAGCATATCAGGCGGGATGAAAATACAGCTTTCAATCCGCATCAGGAAAGGCACAATCGCGAACAGGATATGGAGTTTGATTGTCACAAGATTAACTCGCCGTGGTTCACTAAGGAAAGGTCGTTCGATCCACCTTATCGGCCTTCAATGGTCACATATGATTATAGGAGTTCGGAAAGAAGATCTACAGATCAAAGAGTTGTCACAAGGTTTGAAAGAGAGAATGAGGCCCTCCGTTCGGCAGCACGGACGGTTGATTCGCCGTTCACTGACGAGATCCTGAATGCTCCGAGCCCGAGGAAGTTTTCCATGCCTGTTTTCATTCTGTTCGACAGAACGACCGATCCGATTGATCGTGTCTATCACATTCAGTTGAAAATGGCACTAAACACAGAGAATGATCCTTTAATGTGCAAATATTTTCCTACAAGCTTAGCTAGACCGGCGCTCAACTGGTTTAAGAACCTGCCGAGGGGCTCAGTGGACAGCTTCCGTAGCTTATGTGATCGGTTCATAAGCCAATACTATAGGAATAAGCGCCTGGCAAAAGATATCTCCAGCTTGTTCACCATGAAACAACATGACGATGAGCGTCTCCAAGCTTTTCTTACCAGGTTTAACCTAACCAAGAGCATGGTGATAGAGTGCCATCCTTCCACAGCAGTTCAGGCGTTCAAGTTAGCTATAACCCGAGAGACACCATTCCATACCAGTCTGGTAGTAAACACGCCGAAGACAATGGACGAGCTGAATGAGAGAGCTGATGATTTCGTACGCCTGGAAGAGGAAGAAGCAACTAATGCTAGGAAGACATCTATCATCTCCATGGAAGAGAAGTCCAAAGCGAAGATACGGCAGAAACAAGTTCCTACGCAACGTCAGACCTCTTGGAAGGCAGAGAAGAGGCCCAGGGAGGATGACCTGATTACTCCACTCAAAGTTACACTGGCAAGGCTGTACCAAGAGAACAAAGATAAGTTTCACCCTCCCTTGCCAATTAGACAACCTCTTAAGCAGAGGGATCAATCCAAACATTGTGCTTTTCATAGTGATTTTGGTCATCAGACTAATGAATGCAAGAACTTAAAGAGACAAGTGGACATGCTGATCGCTAGGGGAGAGTTTGCAGGGTATATTCAAGGACCAGCCCAAGAACAGAATCGACCAATTGACCAAGTCAAAAGAAATCAAAAGTCGAATCACCATAACACTTAGCCCGTTCGGATTATAAATGCCATTCATGGTCGACCTGAACGAGCCGAAGAGTCCGAAGAGTTGACCCGAACGCATCGACAAGCACAAATGAAGAGATGAATAGGCAGTGTCAACACTCTGCACCAACAAAGCACAACAACACCGATACGGTTTGATAAGACAGACCTGATGTGAGTTCAGATTCCTCATGAGGACCCTTTGGTTGTCAGTTTGACAGTGGCAAGAGTGTTTAGTACGAAGAGTGCTAATTGATCCGGGGATTAGTGCTAATATCATGCCAACGGTCACCTTTAATCGCCTAGAAATCAATCCAAAGGAGTTGAAGTCTACTGGAAACCCATTGTTGGGGTTTGATGGCAAACGGGTAGAACCGATCGGCACAGTGGAGTTGATGGTCCGTGCAGCTGAAAGGAACCTTGTCGAAAGTTTCGTGGTGGTGGAAATCCATCCATCCCTCCTACAATCTGCTGATGGGGAGGGGGTGGATCCATAGGGTACAAGGAGTCCCATCGACCCTACATCAGGTGATGAGATGCATAAGTCCAGACGGGAGTAAGGTGATTGATATCCATGGAGATCAAGTCGCAGCAAAGAAGTGTTACTTGGTGACTCTGCAAGTTGTAGGGACGGGAAAAGCTCCTGCCCGATCTGCTGATCAGCAATAGCAATTACAGAAGCCTCCCCTCAGCATGAACAGAGAGGAGGAGCTTCCGGTGCTGACCGAGGAACCACTGGTTGAAGTTCAAATTGATCATTTAAGCCCAGATCGGATCACGAAGATAGGTTCCGGGCTTGCCGAGGAAGAAAAACGTCAATTAGTTGATTTCCTCTCCCAGAACGCTGATGTATTCGCTTGGAGCCATCTCGACATGCCAGGGATCGACCTATCAGTCTCTTGCCATTCTCTTAATGTAGATCCAAACGTCAAGCCAGTAAGGCAGAAGCAAAGAAGGTTCGCCCCGGAGCGCAACCAGATCATTGCAGATGAAGTTAATCGATTGCTGGAGGCTGGGTTCATCAAAAAAGTACAGTACCCGGACTGGTTGTCGAATGTGGTTGTTGTACAAAAGAAGAACGGAAAATGAAGAGTTTGCATTGACTTCACTAATCTGAATAAAGCCTGCCCGAAGGATAGTTTTTCACTTCCAATGATTGATCAAATGGTGGATGCAACAACCGGGTATGAGCGACTGACCTTTCTGGATGCATATTCAGGTTACAATCAAATCCCGATGGACCCAGGCAATGAGGAAAAGACCTCTTTTGTCACCGAACGAGGGATCTATTGTTACAAGGTTATGCCATTCAGACTGAAGAATGCCAGAGCCACGTATCAGAGGTTGGTTAGCAGGATTTTTAAGGATCAAATGGGCAGGACAGTAGATGCTTACATCGACATGGTGGTCAAAAGCAGACAGAAGGACCATCACTTAAAGCATTTACAGGAGGTGTTCGGCGTGCTGAGAAAGTATGGAATGAGGCTGAATCCAACTAAATGCTCGTTCGGCGTGGGATCCGGGCAATTCCTTGGCCACGTGGTCAACAAGAGAGGAATTGAGGTTAGTCCAACCCAAGCGGAAGCGTTGCTAAAAAATGCTGAACCAAGAACTATCAAAGAGATCCAAGCTCTTACCGGACGCATAGCGGCATTGAGTCGTTTCATTTCTAAGTTATCCGATCGATGCAAGCCATTCTTCGATACAATCAGGGGTCATGGAAAACAGTCCTGGGGGATGAGCAAAGGCAAGCGCTGATCAAGCTGAAAGAATATATGCGGAACCCACCAGTCCTGAACGCCCCAGTGCCAGGCGAAAAGCTTTTCCTGT